ATTATTTCTTTAGTAATTGTTATTTATTATAACTTAAGTCAATATCTATTTATTTTACTGGCAGCTGATTTTTGTTTGACTTTAATTCCAAAAAAAGAAAATTAAAATCAATCAACTGGACTTTGTTTCCAAGTTTGAAGACGTTTCGCTTCCCATCCAGGAAGCTTTTTTCAAATGAAAATGTCTGAAATAGCGTTGAGTTCCAGGTTTTATACACTGTATAAAACCGTATAAAACCTGGAACTCAACTCTATTCCTGACATTTTCAATTTCAAATATTTGACTTTAATGGAACGGTATATAAACTTTGAAGCACAACTAGTCAGATGGTTTTAAATGAATGCTCGGTAGAAATCTATGACATTAATATTTAATTAAGTTATATATTTTCCAAGATGTATTTCTAATAATATATCAATTTTCACCGTTAGTAACAGAGTAGGGATACATTTAGTTTATCATCATCTTGCTGATAATGTTTGCTTCTCTCCAGCAACATTTTTTTTGTTTGTTTAGCTACTGATGATGGTTCTAGATTATAAATCCTGTTTCCAACACAAACATCAACCAATGTTTCTGTTTTCTCCTCCATTGCTTTTAATGCACATTTTTTTCATTTTAAGACAAATTGGTTTGCTGTCCAGATACGTTCATGTCTTGAATTGTCAGCCTGGAAGTTTCTCTTTTTTATGTCTTGGATTTTGTCCAAGTTTTAGATAAACCTCCTGGTTGATTTACCCCCTTTAAGGCGTCTCTCCCCCTGCAGCTGTCTGGTTAGGGTCAGTCAGCTGCTCTTTAAACGCCTTCTTCTAACTGCAGCAGGTTAGACTTATCTAGGTAATAAAAATGAATAACATCAACAACTTCCGTACCTTTGAAAGATACAACCTGGAGGTGCCCAGCTGATAAATAATAACATTTCCTATTGGTAACTTTTTATTTAAGTTAAGCAACTGACTAAACTTTATAATCATTCTTGATTTCAGATATTTTTCCAGATGTTATAATAACCTTACTTAAGGTTCGTGGGTCACAAAAATCCACTTGTTTCAAAATGTAATATTTTATTTCTAATGGAGTTGTGGGTAAAATAAATAAAGCTTTGAATGTTATCTTGAGAGAATAGTTGGCAAAATTCTCCATAGAGGCGTCAATGTGGTATTAGAATAATCAACAGATCAGATATATTGTTTTATAAAAGGACTTTTAAAGGTAATTAACCAAATTCTATACATCGATGCCTTTCCCTAAAATAGGAATTTTGAAGATGTTTCTTAACTGTAGCTTCTCTCTAATGATCTTGGATAGAAGCGTAGACTCATTCTGAACACTGTTAAATTCATGTGCTTATTAGCACAGCAGGAAGATAAAACAACAAATGATCTGCAGAATGTGATTTAATGTCTAACTGCTTGAGTTTTAACCTTTAAGAGACGCACCAATCAGAAACGGCCCATATTGTTTCCTATAAATTAAAGTGTGCAAATTATATTCCCTGTTTCTTCAATAAATCAAACCTGAGAATTAGACTAATTTTTGTTCAAAGTGCATCATCTAACAACGTATCCATGAACGTATATCTTTAGGTTTAGATTATGTTCAATTACTTTGTTTCTGTTGAATTCAAAATGACTACCTCTATTGAAGAACCTTCATTGTCACGATCCCACGAACTTTTATATCTGTAGCTGATAGAAGCGCCATCGGTGCATCTCTACGTATAAAATAGCTATAAAAGAAATCAGACAAGAGATTCCTAGATGGCAGAGACACTAATATCTCCTGAGTTCCTCCTCCTCCATGGTGGGCAGTGCTGTAAATATGCCTGCTGGCGGCTCCTCTCCTGATCCTGGATCAGACCTGCTCACCTCACCTGATCTCTCATCCTTTATCAAACCAACAAACCTTCAGAGGTCAAAGGTTAGAGAATCCAAGGCAACACAGAACCCAGCTTATGTACAGAACTGTCAGTGTGTCTGCACAGAAACAGCATAGTGAAGCGACGGGGGGGGGGCACTAATGTCACATTTCATCCACAGATTGATTGCAATGGCTTGATTTTTTATTTTATTTATTATAATCTTAGAAGGAAGCGTTTCCTGAATTTTGCGGCTCTCCATGCTCTTAATGTCATCTCTGCATTCTGTTACCAGCTCATTTCTTCTGCTGTGTTCTGCTGCGAGCTGTAGCTGCTTTCGTCGTGCGTTTGTGTGGTATGCATGACGCCTGCCGCACTCAGCACTTCCTTTCTGCTTTTTTTTTCTTTGCTTTTTCAGTCTGAGACTAAAGTGAAACATCACTGTGCAGTGACTGGAATATGATGGGATTTTGTGGGAAACTGAAGAGAGTTTTAAAATAAGGGGGAAATATTACTGTTTTTAACTGTTTTCTTTCTTTCTTTCGGCGTGCGTGCGTGTGTGTGTAACAGATAAGGGGCACATTTTATTGGATGGGTATGTTTTTTGGCCTGCTATGAGATGTCAAAATAAAAAAAGCAAAATTCCAAAGCTGATGATTCTTCACTGTCCTCAGATTTAAAAAAAAAAAAGAAAAAAAGAAGCATCTTTTGGTTTATAGAGTTTCCTCTCTTACCTTTTCTAGTCAGTTCAAATAGATCCTGCAAATTCTCTCTAGAAATCATACTTCTATAAACAGACCAATGATAAAGATCTGTAAAAAGCCATTAGATAAGTTATTGCAGCATCTCAGTCTGAGAAATTCAGGAAAAGAAATCCTTCATTTCAGTAGAATTTTTCCAGGGTGTACAAAAAAAAAAAAAAAAAAAAAACAGGCAGCAAAAAAGTTTTTTTTTAAAACCACTGGTCGCACAACTAGATGACTTTACTAACTATAAGATTTCACCTTTTTCTGGATCCTCTTGTAATCTCTTTTTCTAATGTTCCCCACATGTATCATATGGTATCTGAGAACCAGAATTTCTCTGAGGAATCTTCTCCATGAACCATTGTTCTCATAAAAGAACCAATGATTTCCATTTTAGTTTATAGGTAGAGTTCGTCTGTTTTTTTGTGTGTTTTTTTTCATATATTTTCATATTTCAGGGTTTAAATTACCATGCACTCTAAGTTTCCAGGGCAGTTTAAAAGAAAAACAGACCTCCAGCAGGATAGATCCTCAACACTACTTAAAGGTATTGTGGAGAATTTTCATGAATTTTCTGAAAGACTTACTTCACTTAAAAAAAAAAAAAAAGCACAACCCTGTACCCGCTTCCCGAGAGGGAACGCCTATTAAACGTGTGTGAGAGCGTGCATGAACCCATTTCTCCTCGTGCACGCTCTGTTTAAAAGTTGCTGTTTGCGTCGCTCATACAAGCTAACTTTCCAAAAGAAGATTTGCAATTTTTCCACTATGTCAGACTCACCACCGGTAAATGGCGGCCGAGCACGAAGGAGGGCCTTATATAAACATTCTAGTCAATCACTACAATGATTGACGATTAGGAGGACCACTTATTTTGATGATCCACAAAGATAAAGAACATCCTCCACTATACCTTCAACATTATTCATGAGAAATTCTTCCCCATATTTATCGTCACCTATGGTGCTTTTTTTCTGCCGTAAAGCCAGATTTTAATCTCATTGGACCGATGCAAGCAGTTCCCCTTAAACTCTACAGCCCAGCTGAACAACTTTGTTTTATTAGCATTGATAGCAACCAGTTAGCAGCTAATAGTTGACATGGATATATTCTGACTCCACCAAAGATGGCATTCTTTGTTAAAGCTGCCAATGAGTGAGTTTTTTTTCCAACTCCTACCATCCTGCTGGTTATTTTCAGTAGCAACCTCATCATGAGCCCAGATCCAACCGGGGGCCGCTGACCTTTTGAAAGGGGCGGGCCCTCATTTTACATCATATTTATACATAAGAAGAAAGGAAACCCTGGTTTAAATATGGATTCTTATTCACGATTATAGAGGAGGTTATAGAGGAGGTTTGTTACCCAGGTTCTGGGATATTACTGCACGTCTATGTAGGTAAACATCAGACGTAATGATGAAGTAATGAAATGACTCTGACCTTGGAGTCCATTGAAGGAAGCTGGAGGGTCTTAGAGGTAGCAGAGAAGATAAACGGCATAAGATTCAGCCTAAATAGAAATTGTTGAGGTATTTTGAATATGTAATTTGGATTATGTGAGGATCCTTCTTAAAAGCAGCAGCACAGCTTTAGTTGATTGACTAAACTAATTTGCAGGCAACACATCATGGAAGAAAAGCTTCTGATAACTTTGGCCCTGATAGATTTGTTATTTTATATTATCTTTATGTTTTCAGAAGTAGGTTATGCTACTGCAGGAAATAAATTATTAAAACAGTTTTTACTTTGTTTCAAAGTCTGTTTTATCCATATATTTTTTTGCGATGAAAGACATTTAGAATAGATAAAGAAGGAGAATGTGGATATTTTTCCCTTGCTGATTATTTAATATCAGTAAATGTTGCCGTTTAAATACCTTCCCTGAGTGGGAAAAAAAGCACAAATGTGAATAATCACAAACTCAAATGTAGTTTATTTAGTACTCCACACTTTTCAGCAAACTCTCTGGCTGTTTTTGCAAAGATTAATGTTTTTTTTTTTGGTGTGTAATTTTCACAATGCTATCACAGCCAAGAGCAGATGAACTGCACTGTTTACATTTTTCAAAACTGGAGGTTTTTCATTAAGTAGATTTGAATTTCTTTATTCTTATTTTTGTTTTGTTTTTCCGTGCAATATTTATCCTGTTGAGAGAAATAATTAAAAAGCTTCAGATAAATTATTTCCAGGTTCATATTAGTTTAACTGCTGAACTTTCCATCATTTCTGTATTATCTAATGTTTCATTTGTTTCTTTGCTTTTAATCCTGTTTTTAAAACGGTCCAAGGCACAACAGGTACTAACGCCTGCTTAGTAATCAGTTTCACAAAAGAAAATTACTACTAACCACATGAAAACTGTGAACTGCTCCTTTAAAAAATGCATAGTTTTGTTTTTATTTCCCCACTAGTTAGCTTCAAAACAACATGGTGACCATGATACTATGTCAACCAAAAGTGCCAACACTCAATAAATACATAAAACAATAAATCATTACTTAGGTGACATGATGCATTCATCATTTAAAGTGAATTAAATATACCTGTCATTAATTAAAAATGTTATTAATAACAATTTTGATTGAAGCTGTAATTAGTTTATAGTTTTTTGGTCCAGAACATGAAGAACGGATCTTATTTATTCTATGAGCCAAACTGATCAAAGGCAGTGGGCGTGGCCAGCACTGCTATGGTCAATTTGATTGGTCGAAGGAAAAGTTAATATGGAACTTAACCAGATCTTAATATGTATTTAAGTTTTGTGTCATTCTGCACAGGTGTGATGATTAAATGATAAAGTTTGTTATAATCATGTATGACAGATTAATCTTTCCATAGAGCTCTCTGATTATTGGGGCCCACAGGGCAGCAGAGGCCCTCAGTGATTCTGCTTGTGTCTCTCTCAGCGTCTCACTTGTTTTCTTCTGTAGTTTTTGTTCAGGTAAATTAAATAAAGGTTTCCCGTCTTCAAACATGACATATAACTCCTGAAAATGTGTTTCCAAAGTAAACTCAGTGGTTCCGATTTAACTAAACGCTTTAGTTTAATTCCAAACATTAGAACAAACTTCCCTTTTGCATAAATGGGGCCCTTCGTCTGAATGCCAGAGATGCTTTTTGTTTGTTTTTATACTGTTTTTTAATGATTCTGTTTCGTTTCAGAGAAATGTGCATGGATTTCCTTTTGATTTTGGATGTTTTATCCTTATTAAGATTTTGAAGTGGGTGCAACAAGTAAATAAAATATTCTATTTGAAGAAGAGAAAATATTTTCTGTATTTATTAGCAGCGTGGGGAAGGATTGTGTGCAGATTTCAGTTCGGCCCTTCGGTCCTCCACCGGGGGAAACATGCCCTGATTGGGGCGACACCGATACAGCTGCATCTACATTTATAAAGCTTATTCTAGATTTTATCAAAATATACATCAAACATTTTTGAAACATTTTAAAATGTCTGTGTGATTAACACTGGCTTCAGTAAAATATTTTGTTCCTATTCTTCAGCCTTTCCAAGACTTTGCCACCAATTATTTTATGGAAAGTTATTCTATATTTTCTTCTTTTTTAAAAAATTTAATTTAAACTGGATTTGAAATGGTTAAAATCCAAAAACTAACATTCTATAGTTTTTAACATTTAGGACCAGTTCCCACCTTTTCCAGTTAAATGAAGATAAAATGCATCTAATCTAAATCCTGTTACTGTCCACATTATGAAGATCAACACTTTCTCCAGACCAGGGGAGTTATATGTCACATTTTTTGAGACATTTAAAGAATATATATTACAGAGTAACACTTAGCAGGTTTAGCAATGGTACCAACAAAAAGGCTCAGTTTAGCTGCTGCTCAGTTATCATATATAACAGAATTCTAGAAAGGAATCATTAAAGAAAAAATTAAACTTTAAATCAGAGTAAACCCAACAAACCCTGGAGATGAACTAAGATGAGCAGAGATACTCTCAGCTGGATTCATCTGGAAATTAGTCAATCAAACTCTGTTCATTTCATTATTTAAAGGTAGAGTGGAGGATGTTCTTTTTCCAGGTGGATCATCAACATAACTGGTCCTCTTAACTGTCAATCATTCTGGTGATATGTTTACGTAAGGCCGTCCTACGTGCTTGTCCCTGTTTTCCCTTACCGCTGGTGAGTCTGACATGGTGGAAAAATTCCAGATCTTCTTTTAGAAAGTAAGCTTGGATGAGCGACGCAAACAGCAGCTTTTAAACAGAGCGTGCACGAGGAGAAATGGGCTCATTCATGTTGTTGCGCGCATATAATAGGTGTTCCCTCCCGGTTGCACATGTGCATTTTTATTTTTAAGCGGAGAGGTTGTTTTTAAAAAAATTCTTCACTTTACCACCATACGTCCACTATACCTTTAAGACGTTTAAGACATTTCATCTGCCCAGTTCCTTTCAGATTGAACCATTTTTAGGGCTCTATCCCTTTAATGTAAAGCTGTAGATGAACACATCCCTCCTCAAAGCTTAATCTGCTTCAGTGGCTGCAGACAGATGGATATTAGATGATGCTGCATGTTTGATCCAGAGCAGAAGGGGTGGAGCCTGTTGCATAACCAATAAGAATGCAGAAAGCAGTGGAGTTCCTGCAAGTCATGGTTTGTTTTGGAAACAGCTGGGAAGTATTTTAGTTGCCAGAACAATCTGAGAAAAACTTTGATGCTTATAAAACTGGCATCTCTATAGGAGTGTAAGTGGGAATTAGCACCATGCTAACCGTTAGCCGTCTTAGCATCCGTGGTTCAGTTTAAGTGGATTATATGGAATTTACAGCATATATTACCGTCTGTAATAACTTCTGTAAATTAATAAAATAATTATACTTTATCCAAGTATGATAAAACACTGGAAAAAATCTAAATCTAGATAAGTCATTATTTCTTAAAATAAGAGCATATGTTCTTGAAATAAGAAGCTAAAAGAGAATTTTGCCAATGGATCAAGACAATGTAGATTTAAAATAAAACACAAATGCATCGTCTAACCCTAACCCTAACCCTTCAAGTGCATGTCATCTAATTATCTTATTTTAAGAGTAAAAATACTACCTCATTTACCTACTCAAATTAAGGGTAAATACACTTAATTTAAAAAAGTTTTACTTATTTCTAGATCGTTTTTCCAGTGTAAAAACTGTGGCAACAAAACTGAGGCTATTAAACGATACAGAAGACATAAATGGCAGAAAAAACCCATAAAGGTCATTTTGCATAATATTTCCTCCTAAAGACGTAAATCGGCTGTGAAAACAAGGCAAGAAAAGAAACTTGATTTAGGAGAAATAACAGAAGTTTGTTTAATCCCAAAGATTTGTGTAGAGGGAAGAGCTCGTACAAACACTTCACTGTACATAAAGATTTACACAGTGTGGGACGGCGACAAACGATGTCGCCTTTCAGTCCCACTTCCTGTATCCTGTACATCAGCCAGGGGGGGGGACTGGTCTCAGTCCCGGCTCCACTATAGCGCCCAGTTTCCATTTGTTTGCTTCAGAGTTAAATTAAACCAACCAGAAAGACAGTTTATATTCTGAACTATATTGAAGTAATTAAGGACACATTTTGGAATGCAGAGGACGAACCGAACGGCAGCTCTAGTGGGGGTGGGGGGGCACAGAGATGAAGATCTGCATCAGCTGTAGTTTCAATGGGTGAGAAGAACCAGCGATGGATGCAGCCGTGAAGGAAAGGTTCGCCGCTGGAAGGCGTCCCTTTATTTTGTAAAACCAATTTTTCTTTTTTTGTGTGATAATAAAATCAAAAGGCTTGAAAATAAAATGACAGTTTATATATAACTCTTTAAAGTCCGTGTGGTGAATCATTGAAATGGTTTTGCTTTCATTCTTCTTCGCTCTCGTTTTCGTGCTCCATGTCCTCCTCGCCGTTCGCTTTGGCTTCTTCTCTTCTGTCAGGATCGTCGTCTTCGTCGTCCTGCATCGCCTCCTCTTCATCCCAGTGCTGAGAAAATAATATATAAATAAAATCCTGTCAGTGATGAGCCTAAACTCTTTTTCAGGATAAACTGCTGTGATAGTTGAGCCTAACTTACATCTGAGCCTTCATCTGGAAGAGCTTCATCAACAGAGGCGTCGTCTTCGTCAGACGACTCTATAAAACGGACAATAAATGAGCTGATGTGTGATGAGAGGAATGCATGTTATTAAAAAGCCCTGCAATGACGATAATATGTGGAAATGCTGCAATATATCGCTTCCCATCTTTAACATACTGGTGAAGTCACTGGTTTCCAGTGAGGATTCTACTGCCTGAAGACACAACTGACTAAACTATGTTACCATTTAAAACATTATTTCCTCCCTCTTGGAACTTTAAGCTCAAAATGGATGAACTCCAAACAAGCCTTTGAGATACGAGTTTAGCTTACAGTCGTATGATGATGAAATAGCCCTGATATATTATATTTAATCTCTGCTGCCAGATCAGAGCTGAAATTACAGACAGAATTAACAAACTGATGAACAACAGAGCCAAAGGTCTGCAGAACAGAGCAATGTTCAGGGTTAATGGGACATGTGGCCGACCAACGCTAAACTTAACGCTAATGGACTAGGGCTGGGTAAAAAATAAAAATCGATTGAATCGATTTTAAATCTATTCCTTTACATTTTTGCAAAATTGATGTCTAGGGAATGAGATCGATTCATTTTATAGTGACGCGTGTGACGTTCACATTCAAACGAGCAGGAAAGATGCTCTCTAGAGCAGCGGTCCCCAACCACCGGGTTCGCACAGAAAAAAAACAAAAAAACAAAAACAATATATATATATATGTGTGTAATTTACCGAGTCTGAGTGATGTTTTAAAAAATATTTTAAAAATTGCAGTATTCTCTCCCAATTACATCAGTTGGGGCATCTGTGCCTCTTGACACAGGTTAATTCAGGTCAAGACGCATCCTATCTATAACATCCTATCTTTGTGAAGCGGGATTTACGTTTACATGCAGAGAGAGATCTTTTAAGAAAAGGAAACTAAAGAGATGGTGAAATAAAGTTTCTATGAGATCTTTGAAGCGGCGATCTGAGGTCGTTAGGTGAGAACCGGGCTGATTTAAAATGCAGAGGATGAAGAACTAAACACTCACCTTCCTCATACACCAGTTTAGCTGTATGGTCGACCTCTGACACAGCATTGCTGCTGTCATTTGCTGCCACCTAGTGGAAGAATTAGGAACAAAGTGTTAGAAGAACGGCTAATTGATTTAATTAAATGTAAACCAGCAGTAAACCAGACAGACAACTTCTAACATGGAGGAGACGATAAACCAGCTGTTCTAAAGGCTCTACATGTTTTAACCACTTAACTCACAACTCGTTGATTACAAACAACAAATATTAAATTTAAACTTCCATGAGTACGAGATTTTCTAAAGAAATCTTCACCATCTTTTTTGTTTTAATTATTATTCATTTTAAGCTTCCCGTTATATTGTCTTTTAATTATTTTGTTATTTTTGACGACCGTGTTGCTTAAATGAATTGGCTCTGGTGGGATTTTATTTTCTTTAAAAATAAACATTTGATGCTTGTTTTATGGAATCCGATGCAAAAGGATTTAGAAAGTCTTTTTTAACCCGAAACTATTACCAGAGCAGAAAGTGAGCATTGGTTTATGAATAAAAGACCGTTAACCAAAGTACAGGGAGGAGATCATCCTCACATCGTGTCTCACTGAGAAACGAGTCTTTCTGTGGAATATTTGTTAAACAGTCCAAACAGCTTCAGGACGATCGTAATCAAATCAAAAGGGTTTCTTTCCCATCTGACAGGAAAGAACAACTTACTTCCTTTACCCCACAGACAGCTAAATGTGTGAAAAGGATCAGTCATCCAGTTTACTGTCTGTGAGGCTGATCGTCCCTCCGGTCAGCAGCGGGGGGGTCAAAGCCACTGTGCTTCTGCTCAACCTGAACCCAGACGATCCGTGTGATCCAGTCTGTGTTTTCTATGTGACAATGATCTGTAGCACCGCTCACTACACCATCAAACGGCTCGTTACGCCTGACGAACAGACATTCACGCTGTCCGTCACAGCGTCCGCAGCATTTATCGTCTGCGCAGCGTTCCCCCATACTGGCCGCTCCAGGGGGGCACATTCAGCAACAGCTTCAGGATGACACCACCTGACAGTCATTTCTTTCCTGGAGTTTTTCCACATCTTCAGGGGTTGACGTTAAGGATTTTTCACATTTCATTTGCCCAGAAACTATTTTTCCTTGCCCAGTATAATGTTTGATAAATATAGTTCCTAATATTCATTTTTGTATTTATATCAATGAAACATGTTTGTTTTTTAAATGTTTTTTGTAATTCAGTATTTTTTAAGTTTCCAGGTTCCTGGTGTGTATCTG